TGTTTTTCAGAAATACTGAGTACCTGTTGTGTGCCAGGCACTGTTACAGGAGGTGGAGGTTATATTCTCATATTCCTTGGTATTTTTTTATCGAAATAAGCTTCACTGCTTTTGCCATTTTTTTAGTGTACACTTTTTCAGTGATTTTTAGTAGATTCCACAGTGTTGTGTAACCACCCCCACTATCTGTTTTCAGAACATTTTGATCACCCCAGAGAGAAACCTCATCCCCATTAAGCATATGCTCCGCATTTGTTCTCCTCCAGTCCCTAGTAACTATGAATCTACTTCTTTCTTTATGGATTTTTCTAGACATTTTATATAAGTGGAAACATGCAATATGTGCCTGGCTTCTTTCACTTAGCATAATAATTTTTTTTTTTTTAAGATTTATTAAGGGGGTAGGGACAGAGAGAATCTTCAAGTAGACTCCCTGCTAAGCATGGAGGGCCCTACGTGGGGCTCGATCTCATGAACCATGCGATCATGACCTCAGCTGAAACCAGGAGTCAGTCGCTCAGCTGACTGAGTCACGCAGGCATCCCTCTTAGCATAATACTTTTAAGGTTCGTCCCATGTTGTAGCATGTATCAGTACTTCATTCCTTTTCATGGCTGAACAGTATTTCCTTGTATGGATAATACCGCATTTTGTCCATCAATTGTTTCCATTCTTTGACTGTTACAAATAAGCCCCTGTGAACATTTGTGTACCAGTTTTTGTGTGAACATGTCTTCAGTTCTACCAATTATTTCTTTAAGCCTCTCATAACCTGTTGTTTTATATGTTACATCTATAATTCTCATTTGAAGTCTTTGGGTATTGGAATCTATTGTTTCTGCTAAATCTCACTTCGGGTAGTTTATTTCCTCCTAGGTTGTGAGCTTGCTGTTTTATATTTTTAAAACATTTTTTTAAGACTTTATTATTCTTTTAGTTTTTATGTAAATTCAAGTTAGTTAACTTACAGTGTAGTATTAGTTTCAGGGGAAAGATTTTATTTTTATTTATTTTAGAGAGAGAATGTGAGCAGGGTGGAGGGGCAGAGGGAGAGGAGAGAGAATCTCAAGCAGACTCACTGCGGAACATGGAGCCTGACATGGAACTGGATCCCAGGACCCTGAGATCATGACCTGAGCCAAAACCAAGAGCCAGACTCTTAACCAGCTGAGCCACCCAGGTGCCCTGGAAAGATTTTATTTTTAAGTAATCTCCATATCCAACATGGGGCTTGAACTCACAACCCCAAGATCAAGAGTCACACACTCTACCAACTGAGCCAGCCAGGTCCCCCAACATTTTTGTTTTTGTTCCATGTGACCTGTAATGTTTATCTGAAAAGTCAAAATAGTAGAATCAAATAATAAAAATTGGCAGACGGGGTTAATACTGTTTTCTGAGGGGAAGAAAACAGTAAGGTGTAATAGAGGCAGCAGAAGCATGGAGTTCATAGGTGTTTCTTTCCCCTACAGCATTTAAAGTGTTTCTGGGAGCTAAAGGCAAAGATACTACTATTAGGGCCTCTGTCTGCCGGAGTGTTGTTTCTTTTTGTGGATTCCCTGTGGGCCATGGGTCTCTGAGGATGTTGAGCCTCCTTAGAAGACAAGGGTCTTTATGACACTGAGTCAATGGAATTTTTAAAAACCTGGTATTAGAGTGGGTGAAACATTAATCATTTTTTCCTTAATGACCACAAAACATGAAAATCTTACTCATGCTTACCAGCTTCATGTTCTGACAAACCAAGAGTTGGGTAAAATGTTAAAAGGGATATGATATGTAAAATGTTTTGGGGGTACACAGGTGGCTCAGTAGGTTAAGCGTCTGACTCTTGATCAGGTCATGGTCTCAGGGTTGTGAGATCCAGCCCCGGGTCAGGCTCTGTGCTCAATAGGGAGTCTGCTTGAGATTCTTTCTGTCCTCTGCCCCCACTCCCCCCGCACCCCTGTGCACGCTCTCTCTCAAAATAAATACATAAAAAATGTTTTGGACATAAATATTTAAGTTTGAAACAAGAATTTTGGATGTACATTGTCCATCTTCTGGCTGTTCAGTGTTTTTATTAAATGTAAGTTGATAGCAGTCACTTTTTGTCCATTAAATGATGGGTTCTTACACAGACTTTGTTTATTGGAATTGTTTAATAGGAACTTAGGTAGCACATACTTCCTTTCAGAGCCCAGATAACCTTTTGTGTTCACCTGTCATACTTAGATCTTCCTTTATTTCCCCTTTCTTTAATCAAAAACATACTGTGAACGATTGCAGTAGCTCATGAACTTTCTTTGCATTACACTGTTTTCTTTCCCCCTCCTGCACAGCACTGTTGAGGTTTTTTTGTTGTTGTTTTTTGAACTTCAGTTCAAAAGGGTATATACTTTTAAAAAAAATTTTTTTAATTAACATATAATGTACTATTTGTTTCAGGTCTGTGATTCATCAGTCTTACACAATTCACAGCGCTCACCATAGTACCTACCCTCCCCATTGTCCATCACCCAGCTACCCCATCCCTCCCACCCCTCTCCACTCCCACAACCCTCAGTTTGTTTCCTGAGATTAGGAGTCTCTTATGGTTTGTCTCCCTCTCTGGTTTCATCTTGTTTTATTTTTCCCTCCCTTCCCCTATGATCCTCTGTGTTGTTTCTCAAGTTCCTCATATCACTGAGATCATATGATACTTAACCTTTCTCTTATTGACTTATTTCGCTTAGCATAATACCCTCTAGTTCCGGCCATGTCGTTGCAAATGGCAAGATTTCGTATTTTTTTTTGATGGCTGCATAATATTCCATTGTATATATATACCACGTCTTCTTTATCCATTCATCTGTTGATGGACATCTAGCCACTTGCCATAGTTTGGCTATTGTGGACATTGCTACTATAAACACCAGAGTGCACGTGCCCCTTCAGATCACTACATTTGTATCTTTGGGGTAAATACCCAGTAGTGCAATTGCTGAGTCGTAGGGTAGCTCTATTTTCAACTTTTTGAGGAACCTCCATACTGTTTTCCAGAGTGGCTACACCAGCTTGCATTCCCACCAGCAGTGTAGGAGGGTTCCCCTTTCTCCACATCCTCACCAACTTCTGTCATTTCCTGACTTGTTAATTTTAGCCATTCTGACTGGTGTGAGGTGGTATATCTCATTGAGGTTTTGATTTGGATTTCCCTGATGCCAAGTGATGTTGAGCACTTTTTCAGTGTCTCTTGGCCATTTGGATGTCTTCTTTGCAGAAATGTCTGTTCATGTCTTCTGCCCATTTCTTGATTGGATTATTTGTTCTTTGGGTGTTGAGTTTGATTAAGTTCTTTATAGATTTTGGATACTAGTCCTTTGTCTGATATGTCATTTGCAGTTATCTTCTCCCATTCTGTCAGTTGTCTTTTGGTTTTGTTGACTGTTTCCTTTGCGGTGCAAAAGCTTTTTATCTTGATAAAGTCCCAGTAGTTCATTTTTGCCCTTGCTTCCCTTTGCCTTTGACGATGTTTCTAGGAAGAAGCTGCGGCTGAGGTCAGAGAGGTTGCTGCCTGTGTTCTCAAGGATTTTGATGGATTTCTGTCTCACATTTAGGTCTTTCATCCATTTTGAGTCTATTTTTGTGTGTGGTGTAAGGAAATGGTCCAGTTTCATTCTTCTGCATGTAGCTGTCCAATTTTCCCAACACCATTTGTTGAAGAGACTGTCTTTTTTCCATTGGACATTCTTTTCTGCTTTGTCAAAGATGAGTTGACCATAGAGTTGAGGGTCCATTTCTGGGCTCTCTATTCTGTTCCATTGATCTGTGTGTCTGTTTTTGTCAAGGGCATATACTCTTTTAAGGGCATTCCTGGCTAACCTGGCATTCTTGTCTTTTTACAATCGAGCCCACAATCTTTCCTTCTAGACTTGTATGTTTGTCCTAGTCTGTCATCACCCTTTTGCTAGTCAGAAGTACTCTAATGCCTGCAAACCATTCATCAGTTATAACTCTGCCTTTGCTCATGATGTTGACTCTATTGAAATGTCCTTCCCATAATCTTAGGCTCTTGGCAGTGTTCCCATCCTTCAAAATCCACCTGTTGGCAGTGTTTCCATTCTTCAAAATCCACCTGAAGCACACTCAGTATCTTTTCCAACTATAAACTATATTTTTTCTCTTCCTGTTGTTTTGTGTATCTTTTTGAGAACTTTTCTGTCTTGAATAATTATTGATATTTCTTGTGTTACTCTCTCCACCCAGTTATAAATTTCTCATGATCAAGGCTCTTGTGTTGCTTGTCTTTGAAGTTATTTCTGGCAAGGCAAATTGCCTTAGGTTGAAAGGTGTTCATTAACTAGGTGAAGAACTAGATTATAGCAACACATTTCATTTGAGATTAGCTTGAACTCACGAAAGGTAATGTTTGTGCTATACTTGTTTTATACCCCCCAACATCTAGCACACTGCCTTGGCAATTAATAACATGTGTTTTGAATTGTTGAGGAAGATATTTGAAGTCTTTAATTTGGTCCTTGTATTTTAGTGTCAAGGAAAAATCAAGTTGGTTTCACAGTTAATTAGGGAAATTTATTCAGTAATATTTTCTTGTTTTTACTTGTATGAAAACTAGGGAATTTTTTTTTTTTTTAAGATTTTATTTATTTATTTGAGAGAGAGAGAATGAGAGATAGAGAGCACGAGAGGGAAGAGGGGCAGAGGGAGAAGCAGATTCCCTGCTGAGCAGGGAGTCCGATGTGGGACTCGATCCCGGGACTCCAGGATCATGACCTGAGCCGAAGGCAGTCGCTTAACCAACTGAGCCACCCAGGCGCCCGAAAACTAGGGAATTTTTGTTTGATTGGAAATCTGTTAATCAGAGTTGGTAGAGTTTTTAATTTGGTAACAATATTTTTCCTAAAGAAAGACTGTCAATAACTTGTTTTCTTTATAATTATTAGAAACTGCTATGTGCCTGCCTTATGATGAGTAATAATGAAGCAGATTCAAATTCTTCCCTCTTTCCAAAAATGCAGGTTCTTGTTAAACCTTTGGGAGACCGCGGCTACCTTTTTCTTCTCTCTCCTTGTCAAATGGTTTCTCCATATGGTAGGTGATCTCTTTAATTTTTACAATTCTTTTTAAATTTTTTTGTTAGAACATATTGCTAATCAGTTTGGCTTCTGTTTTTTTAGAACATCAGACTGCCAAGTCTCGAGTGCTACATGCTTTATTTCTTTTTCAAGAACCTAGAGGCATAGTTACTTGTAAGTTCTTTGAATATCTATCAAGTCACTGATACTTACATTTCATGTTCCAGATAACTCAGTAAACATTTTGTTTCTTATATTTTGGGAAATACTGGGGGATTAAGAGGTATTAGCAAAATAAAACAAATTATATATGACCTGATTATTTTTTAGTGGAAAATTTTTGGATGTTACCATTGTTTGCGCTAAATAAACATTGATTGTAATTATTAAAATACCGTAGTGGCTTCGTTTTCTAGGGTTTTACATTATTAGAATTTTTTAGCTGAGTTCATTTTTGCATTCAAATTTTAGCAACAATAAAAGGATCATGTGCTAGGTTAAATTTAGGCCATTTAAAATTAATAAAAAATTTTTCACACTGGTAGAGAAAATTTGCTATTCACTGTTTCTAAGAACATGTTTCAGTGCTATATTAAGGTAAAATTCACACTGATGGGTTTCATTGTTAGAGTAAGAATGACATTTTCAATTGTAGCCACTTGGTGTTTAGATATCTGCCATCGGGATAGAACATTAATGTAAAGTTAAACTTATTACAGTATAGCAGGAAGGAGTGACATTGCTATCAATTGCAGGATTCTCTTGCTAGGAGCCTCAGATTTTGCCTTGCTTCTTTATTTCTCCTTACATTTTGCTTGCCACCAGTTGAATGCCTAGGGACAATAAGAAATGAAGATCTTCAATGAGTGGGTGTTTTTCCCTTTAAGAACATCTCCTACAATTTTGTTTTAGTTTCTTATTGTCCTGTTTTTAGAAGCAGTATTCTTCATTTATTTCTATATTACATATATGTATCAGGGTGTACATACTCCTGGTTTGGTTTACCATTAATGTATGAATGTTGTTGCATTTCTTTGACAAAATGTAGATCTGTGTTTGATTCTTAATTGCTAACATGGTTTGTTTTTTTGTTTGTTTACAGCACAAAAAGGTTCAACTAATGCAGCACCACAGAAGAGACATGAGAGCATGACAGATGTATTAAAAATAACTCAGTTTTTACAGTTTGCTTTGATTCAGTGTCGAAAGGAATTCAAAAATATAAATACTATAAATTTTCATTCTGTTGTTGAAAAGTATGTAAATGAATTTTTTAAGCGAGGTTTTGGTTCAGGTAAACGAGAGTTTATCATGTTTCCATACGATTCACGATTAGATGATAAAAAATTCTTATACTCAGCTCCAAAAAATAAATCCCATATTGATAATTGTTTGCATGCCTATATTTTTCGGCCTGAAATGTATCAGTTACCAATTTGTAAATTAAAAGAGCTTTTTGAAGAAAATAGGAAACTTCAACAGTTCAGTCCACTCTCAGATTATGAAGGCCAAGAAGAAGAAATGAATGGTACAAAAGTGAAATTTGGAAAACGAAATAACTCAAGGGGTGAAACTATTATACCTAGAAAGCAGAAGTCCTCTCACTCTTTGGATTATGATAAGGATAGAGTCAAAGAATTGATTAATTTAATTCAGTGTAGGAAAAAAAATGTGGGTGGGGACTCAGACACAGAAGATATGAGAAGCAAAACTGTCTTGAAGAGGAAGCTTGAGGATCTACCTGAAAATATGAGAAAGCTCGCCAAAACCAGTAATTTATCTGAAAATTGCCATCTGTATGAAGGTAAAAATACCAGGTTGCTTTTACACAGTGTAAAAATAACAACCAAAAATATAGTAAAGTAGTTCTGTCCTTTCCCCTAGTACAGGGGTCTGCAAGTTACAGGGGTCTGCAAGTTAGTAATCCAGCCTGTCCCCTGTTTTTAGTAAAGAAAGTACATCAGATTTCTGAATTGTGTAGCTTAGGCTAATATGAGGAAAATGAAGTATGCTTGGCTGTTATCCTGTTAATTGGAGTTCTTGTCCTTTCATATCCTATTAACTTTATTATTGGGAAAGTACGTTGAATATTGGGTTCTTTTAGCATATTGCTTAGTGTAAGGAACCTTCTGAGCTTTAAAATTCGATCTCTTAGATGCATCCACATTTTTTTCTACCCTAGGAGTCAGTCCAGTAATATGTTTGGCTTTTTTTTCTATTTTTCTTTGTTTTAGTTGACAGTTAAAGACAGAAATGGGAGACCCTTCTTTTAAGTGTGTGTTTCAATATTGCAAGTATTCTAAAACATTTTTTCATCTAGATTTTTAATATCTTAACACCGCTAAAATAAGCATGAAATGTCTTCTTTGAGTTCATGGACTTTTGAATTTTGTGCTGCTGCTGTTTTTGTTTATAGCAGATAACAGTATTCCATCCCTGTTTCTTACTAAGCTGTTTTACTTGTATATGTTCAAATTCAGTGTGTCTCAGAACTGACTAGGTTAAATCAGTGTTTTTTTACTGTTCTCTTAGCAATCAGTGCTTGTATCCTCAGTTACTTTTCACTTATCTGCTCTCCTTTACTTCCTCTCTTTCTGCACATATGGTAGCCAGTGGCCACGTGTTATTTAAGTTTAAATTAAAAAATAATTCATTTCGTGTATTATACTTGGAACATTTCATAAACCATACCACTGTATTGAAATAGCACAGATAGAGAACATTTCCATCATTGCAGAAAGTTCTGTTTGACAATGCTGTTGTCTTCAGTAACTTTCAAGTGTTTTTTCTTTACTTGACCTGTGTTCTCTTTTTCTTTCCAACATTTTCATCTTGTTCTTAACCTCTTGGGTGGCTTTCCTGGCATCTGTCAACCATTTCAGTCTCATGTTCTTCCAGTCTCAGCTTCGTATTCGTCTTTTCAAAAGTTTTTTATAGATTGGCCATGTCCCACCTGGGTAACCATGTTTCCCATTCTTTTTTCACATATTCCTTGATTAGGGTTCATCTCTCTCCTCAGAATATGTCATAGTCAGCCCTTTACACTCCTCTTTCTTCCTGAAGCATCTTTCATTTCTCTCAAGCCGCATATCTTTGCAGTTCAGATCCCTCCCTAGATTTATGGCTGTTCTACTTGATGGTTTCTATTTCCTTTAGCTTACACCATGCTGTACCTATTGACATTTACTGATCTGCACTGTCTTACACTGTTGACCTGGTGTCTTGAGAATTAAGTGCTTACCATGTGCCAGGTGCTTTACATATATGGACTCAGTTAGTTCATGAGTGGTAGACATTATTATCCTTATTATCCTTAATTTACAGATGAGAAAATCTATAGAAGCTAAAGTTATATAGTTCGTTAATCCATGTTTAATTCATAACTTAGTTGTGACTGACAAAAAATTTTTCCTAAACTTGGCTGTATTTACTAGCACTGGCACATAATGGTTAAGATACTTAAATTTCAGTACTGTTTTAGCTGATAATTGACTAATTTTGTAGATGTGAAAAAATAGTTGTGGGTGACAGTCAGGCTTTATCAGCAATTAAAATGGAGGGAAAGCCATGCCAATAGGCCAAAGTAGAAGTAGGGCAGGGGAGAAGGGGGAGATAGGTTAAACTGGAACTAGTGACAGTCAGACTTGCATTTCTAGGTGTTCCTCATTTGTGTTTCTTTTTAGTTATTTTGTACAGTTTATTTTTGACTGAAAATAGAGATTTAAAGGTTGAATTCTAACTTTTAAAATACCCTCATCTTGATTTGGTGGTGAACCCACTCATTTTATAAGCGGTAACCTCCTATCTTCCCTACCCCGTTTTACATTAACCTTTTTGAGATATGATTTACATAAAATATACCCATTTTAAGGGCACAGTTTAAAGGTGAATTTTGATAGTTATGTTACCACCTCTCCAATTTATAGAATATTTTCATTACCCCCAGATGTTACCTTGCACTCCTTCGTAATCTCACCCCACCCCACCACTGATGTGCTTTCTGTCTTTAGGTATTAGTTTTTCCACTTCTTTGATTTTATAATTCATATAGGTAGAATCATAAAGGATGTACTTTGTTGTTTCTAAATTTTTTTTCCCGGGTGGTACATTATACCCTGCTTAAATTGGAAATCCTGGCATCTCTCCAGGCTTTATCCTCCTTCAGCATTAAAAAGCACATGACTTTCTGAATGTCTATTCCCTTTGCAGGTTTTTAATAATGGTATAATGCAGATTACCCAGATTTATACTTGCTTGTAACCATATCTTAACATGTTTTTTTCATAGTACTTTTTGTTCTTAGTGCAAGTTTGGTATGGCTTGCTTCAGGATGATTTTGTATCTCTAGTATCTTAGCTTTGTTATGAAATTAAGTAATCTAGTCATTCAAGATAAGGTTTTAGATTATAAGAATGTCGTTATCTTAAAGACAATCTAATCGGTGTAGAGGAGATAGAAATCAAATTGAGCCATGGTTTGTTTTTTTAGTAGATTTAAATGTAATCTGCATATCCTTCTCTAACATTTTGCAAAATAACAAGTACAGATATTTTATCTGTTTTCAAGTCAGGTAAAACTGGGATTAAACTGATTGGGATTTTGGTAGTAGAGTTTAAGGTAACCACAGTACAGGTATTAATATATTAATATATATTATCCATACTACCAACATGTTATCTGAGCTCATTTCTCCATTAATATAATTTTCAAGTTATGATGAAAATAAACTTTGATTTATGGGAATTTTTAGCTATGTGCAAAATTTATTTTTTATTTTTTATTTTTTAAAGATTTTATTTATTTATTTGAAAGAGAAAGCACATAAGCAGCGGAGCAGCAAAGGGAGAGGGAAAAGCAAGCTCCCCTCTGAGCAAGGAGCCTGATGCGGGGCTCAGCCCCAAGACCCTGGGTGCCTGCTGTGTGCAGAATTTTAGAACTAGTTATATTTGTAAAGAAAGGGATGGAGGTACTTGTATAGTCCAAACCAGTGGTCTGATTGGATTCCTGCCCATAAATATAATTTTTAGGTATATTTGATTTTTAAATTTTTATGCAAACATTCCAAACTTGACTTTAAGAGATGGGTTTTCTTTCTCTTTCCCTTCAGAATCTCCACAGCCTATTGGCTCTCTTGGGCATGATGTTGATTTGAGACAGCAGCAGCAGGATACCTCTAACTCCGGTGTTGCTGATATCCATCGGCTATTTAATTGGCTATCAGAAACACTGGCAAATGCACGTCATTCTGATGCATCCTTGACAGACACAGTCAACAAAGCCTTAGGACTGAACACTGATGATGCCTATGAAGAGCTGAGGCAAAAGCATGAGTATGAGTTGAACTCTCCTCCAGATAAGAAAGAGTATGAGCAGCCTACTTGTGCAAAAATTGAAAATGTGCATTTTAAGGGCACTCAGAGCCCATTGCTAGAAGTGGATACATCATTGTTAAAGTATCCTATTGCTGTTTCTACCAGTGAAGCAGGCGCTGACCATAAACTACATTTGAAGGAAGTAAGCATATGTCTTTTGATTATCTTTGTTGGTTTGTGAATGTGTGTCTGAAAGAGGATGTAGGTGTGTTTCAGTGGGATTTTTTTCCCATTCAAAAAGAAATAAAAGAAATAAAATACACATTGCAATGAAAGTATCTGTCCAGGGGAGTATTTCTAAGTTATTCCTTGTTACAAAGGGATAAATGCAGAAGTAGCTGTTTTCCTTCCTGCTTATAGGATTATGTATATCGTCTTATATAAAGCTAATAAAATTGAATCCTCAGAAGATTGGCTCTCTGCTGGCCAAAAGTGATATAAACAAGATTAGATACTTAACTATTTTTCATGCAAGTAAGAATGGAAAGTGAGTGTCCTTTATGGATTATCTCTGAAATGACTCTCAGCATTGCTTGACAGATATCCAGTTTGTTTATGAAGCAACCTTAGAGAGTACTGCTCTCTAGCTGAGAAGTAACCTTGTCTTCCCCCAAAAGTGGCTGCATCTCTGGGGAATAACAGTAACAGGATGACCCCATTTTCCTAAGGGTTTATTTCTAATTCACTTTTCCCTCCTATTTCTCTTCCCTGCCTTTGAATAAAACTCATGCATGTCCCCAGGCTTTCTCCATGTAGTTTTAGGATATTTATTTTAGGAGGATAATGGCAGGAGACCCACTTGGGGAAGTATGTAACTTACGTAACTAACTTATTAACATTTCCTGACAAATTTAATACTCTAAATTGAGTCGATGGGAGCATGGGCCAAACTCTGCACACTGCCTTTTTTAATTTTATTTTTTATTTTTTTGAGAGAAAGCTAGAGTGCGTGCATGTGTGAGAGGGAGAGGGAGAATTTTAGGCAGCCCAACATGAGGCTCAGTCTCAAAACCCTGAGATCATGATCTGGGCCAAAATCAAAAGCCGGATTCTTAACTGACTGAGCCACCCTGGGTGTCCCCACCAACTGCCTATTTTTGTAATTAAGGTTTTAGTGGAACACAGAGGAACACAGCCATTTGTTTAGATATTTCCTCTGGCTGCTTTTGCACTACAGTGGCAGACCTGAGTATCTGGCCCACAAAGCCTAAAATATTTGGTGCTTTACTGAAAAAGCTTAACCTGTGCTCTAAATCAACATCAAATTATGTTTTGAGGAGAAACATTGTGTTTTAATTTAAGACCAGAGTATTTTAACTTTGCCATGCTGATTTTACTCATTTGTAATGTTTAAATTGAAGCTTGTGGATTTGCTATCAAAAAAAAAAGTGGAACATGCGACTCTTGGTCTCAGGGTTGTGAGTTCAAGCCCCACATTGGGTGTGGAGCCTACTTGTTTATTCTGGATGTAAAAATTAATTGAAAAGAAAGCTATTGAATATGTACTCTAATTTTTAGTAAAAGGCGAAAGATTTATGCGATCTGAAGAGAAACCAGAGTATGTACTCTAATTTTTAGGATCCAAATTTAATTAGCATGAATAATTTTGAAGATTGCAGTTTGTGTCCCACTGTTCCCATTGAACATGGATTCCGCAGACAATCTAAGTCAAATAATGTTGAAGAGACTGAAATACATTGGAAACTAATTCCAATTACAGGTAAGAACAAGTATACTGGGACTTTGGTTTGCTTGGTTTTACTTAGCAGTTTCCTGGAGGGTTTCATCTTTTCTAGATTCCATTCTTGGGTCACTGGGTGGTTCATCTTTTTGGTTCATCTTCGTATCTTATTTTGAGCAATGTAACGTTCATCACTGATTGTTGCTGGTTTTGGTCAGCATCAGCAAGTTATCTGCGAAACAGCCTATAAAAGCAGAGAGATTTAAAACATACTTTCCCAATGGAGTTTAGTGTGCAGACTTCCAAATGAATATTGTTGACAGAAATTGAGTTTCTAATAAGGTGAGATAGTGACATGAAATGATGGTCTTTGGGACAACAGATTAAATGCTATCGTCTCAAATTATTAGAGTAAACTTCACCATAAGAAGCTGTCATCCAAGAAGTGGTCATGTTGAGGTTCATCTATTTGAAGAAAAAATTGATTTCTTAATATTGGATTATCTTAGAGAAATTAGATCATCACAGAGAGTGGTCTGAAATGATCAAATGCAGAAATCCCTAGAAAGCTTATTGGACCATGGGGCAAGACTAGGTTAATAAATGTTGAAAGATCATTTTGCAGTATTCTAATTTCTCTGTGCAAACACATACATATACACACAACGCATGTATATACTACATACTCTTAATGTTTCAAGTTCTTACTCATCTTTGTTAGCGAAGCATTTTTGGAAATATTCCCAGGGCACATCTTTTCCATTCCTAGACCTTTAAAAAGAAAAAAACCCAACTTTTTGCTAAAGAGTTAGCCTGGCTTGTGACCTAGAAGCTACTGAGACTTCCAAGGACTCTGAGAAGAATTTCTAAAACTTGAGTTTCCATGGGCTTCAGGACCATTTTCTACTTAGTACCTTACCAGAGAGGGCGAGAGGCCTAGAAGTGATGGTGGAGAAGTAACTTGTACTTAAGAGCTGGAGATCTTGGCTTGAATGGGAGAAACAGAGTAAGAAAGTAGTCAATACAAATGATTATCCTAACCATTCATCATTTAGGTAGCTTCATAGCTGATGTTCAGAGCCATTTGAAGGCACAGCATCTAGGTGTTGATATTCCATCATCATCTGAATGGAAAGGGAAGCAACTTCTATTTCTGAATGACCCTTCTGGATTATTTTAGGCAAAAGATGGAGTACTTGGATTTGTTAGCATTTGGGGTTGTCTGAAAGGTGCTTAATAGGTATCACCAGTATCTGAATAAAGTCTACAAATCTAATGGATGCTTTCCCTCAGGAGGGAATGCAAGAAGCCCGGAAGACCAGCTGGGGAAACATGGTGAGAAACAAACACCAGGTGAGAAGGCTCCCTTTGCTTTTCCTCCCAATGTGCCTTCTTCAGAATTGCTACTTGCATTTCTGGTTCTCTATTGATAGATAGGGCTTCATTTTGAGTTCTGTTAATTACAGAAAATTTGGATAATATTTGCATTTAAAATCATTATTTGTATCAAATATTCTTGTACAAAGAATGTGTTTACAGAAGTCACTGAATATTCATAGAGATTAAGTTTTCTTCACTGTAGTGATTCTATCTGATATGACTTGGGAAGATTGGAGTATTTTTCTTAATCCATTTCTGTAGAATATCCTATGAGAAACACTCTTCAAGTTTCTTTTAAGTTTAAAAAATACAAGGATTGAGGCCAGTTATCTTTCAGGTTCATTATCCCTAATCTTGAGTTTTTTGACCCAATTCTTTTTCTGATTATTTAAATAAGGTAGTGTTGTAAATAAGAGATTAGGAAACTTTGGGATTCTGGAAACAGTTACAGATGTTGCTGACTAGCTAATTGCTGTTGGTTCTTAGAAGACCTTTTCTTTTGTCTGAGTTCAGTCCATTCAGCATCTCTGCAGATGGTCATAGGCATTGTTTTCTTGCTTAGAGTTTGGTGGTGGGCCTTTTTTGTTTCCATTTCTTTATATCTTACTCTTTCAGAAATCTTAAGTGGTAGTGGGTTTTTTTTCTTAATTTGGAAGGAAAGCTAAGTGGCTTAATTTTAGTAGATCTTTAAGGTTTTCCTCTCTGCGGAATTAAAAAAAGACTGGTTTTAAGAAAATCTTTTGTCGCCTCTTAGGAAAAATGACCAAAAAAACCAAAATAGGAACAACAGATATATGACACACAGGAAAGTGCATTAATCTTTAGTACACAGCTCAATGGGTTTTTACATGTGTATAGACTTATGTTACCACTACCCAGATCAAGATGTAGGACATCCAACACCCCCAGGTTTTCTTCTGTATCCTTCCAGTCAGTACTCTCCCTGGCCCAACAATAACCACTAATCTAAGTTCTTTTACCATAGATTAGTTTTACCTGTTCTTAAACTTAAGATAAATGGAACCTACACATGTCTTGTTTTGTTTTTGGCTCTTTCACTCAACATTATGTCTGGGATTCACCTATTTTATATCTGTCAGTAATTCTTTCTCATTAGAAGCAGCCAGGTATCTTGTTTATGCTTCAGCATGTGCCACTGGCATCTGCAGTCCTCTCTTGTCATACCCTCTTTATATTTTGTGATTGAAAATGTAAATATGTGAGTGATGCTGCCTTTAGAGAACTCACTATTCCCCTTTCAAAGTCAAAGTACTGCAATGCTTGAATGACAATCAGTAGAAAACATGCATTATTGATATTGACGTGTGTTTCCTTTAAATCATTTACCAATGAAGACTTTTTTTAAAATAAAGTCAATTTTAGTGATTAGAATCTTATAGGGGAAATTTGTGACAGTAGAATTAGGTGATGGTAATTTGCATTTTTAAAAGGGATTTGTTTAGACTTTTAATATGGAAAATTCCCTACATGGATTTAAGCTTCATTCAGCTTTATCCATAGCCCTTTAGGTGTAAACTTACTGGTCTGAACTACAGCTGTACATCTTGGGAGCAGGTATTTCATTTGAAATAATACATAATTGGAAGTTTAAAAATAATAGGTGGTATTCCCCAACCCGTTTGTTATAGAAGGTACAATTTAAAATGTTTTTATTTAAATAAATCAGACATTTGATATAGTATGTAGGAAGTACAAAAATATTTCAAAATGTAAAATACTTCAAAAAGTCTTGCAGCCCTATCTCAGACATTTAGTTTCATTGCATGGGTCAGCCTCTGTTACAGATTTCTTATGTATCCTTCCAGACATTTTATGTGTGCACTAAACCCCATGCTGCAGATTTAAGAAGGATGTTCTCTATTCTGGAGTTATTTTATGGAACTTGAATTTCTGGTTTATCAGTTTCATACAGTTTTAATTCTTACCTTGGTACATTGGGTATTTTGCTCCCCTACTCTTCTTCCCCCTACAGACCTGTAGTGGTCTTACTTGCCAGCAGGTGCCTTTGTAGTAGTTAATGGGTAGAGTGGTTCATGGTAACTACCAGGGTTGGTGGAGAAATGTAACAAGCTTGACTGCTGCTGAGGCTGTTAAGAGCTTTAGAAAAGTGTGTGAGGAAAACCAAAACAATTTGTGTGGAGAAGGGTATGCTGCCACACCTGACTGCAGACTTGATTAGGGAATTCACTGTATCTTTAAAGTACTATAGTTTTGAAAACTATACTGGCACCTGCAACTTCCTGATATAGAGGTACCATTTCATGGACTACAACAGTAATTTGTTAGGAAATATTGGCTAAGATCTAAGGAAAATTAATTAAAATAAAATTGTATAATATCATCTAGGCAAAGATCACGAATTTTTTTTCTTTTCCTAAAATAGTACTATAAATTGCCATTAAACATATTTTCCCCTTGTCTTTTAAAAAGGGACTTAGGGTATCTGTTTTGAAATGTAGTTTTAGAAACATACTGTGTTTGAATTTAGAATTTCTGGGAAAGAAGTACAATCTATGGATTGACCTTGTTGTCAAAAGTCAGAGTTTGGTTTCATTAACATCAGGTAGCTGAATGACCTCTTCATCTCAAGAGTGTTACTGTTAATGCAGATATGAAATATGTTCTTTTCCATATTATTGAACCTTTTTTTCCCCCTGATCTATCTGGGAAGCAGAAATAAGCATATAAGCATATTTAATTTATATGGATGCCAAATTGGCACATGTTCGAACACTTCAAAAGGAATCAAAGAAAATAACATCCAAACTTGTTACTCTAGCTACTGAAATCCCAAGACCAGCCATAAGTAGGCTACATAGAAAATGGGGTTCATACCATCATTTGAGATTTTTATTCTACCTTCCAGTGCGTAATTAGTTCTGAATATATACTTTGATCTGACATTCCTATTCACGAGTTTGTGTTTTCAGATGTTATTTTTTTGGATTGCTTTTATAATAATGAACTCTTCCTATATAGGTATGAAATCACCAGAAGAACAACTGGTGTGTCTGCCACCACAGGAAGCCTTTCCTAACGACCCCCGGGTAATAAGTAGACAGCGAGGTTCTGATTACCAGTTTCAATCCTCTCCATTTACAGACACACTGAAGGGCACCACTGAGGATGACGTGGTGACAGGTCAGGTGGTGACAGTGGAGGAGCAGTGTGTGCCAGCAGCAGAGCCGCCCACAGTGAGTGAGACCACAGAGAGGACAGTGTTAGGAGAGTACAATCTCTTTTCTAGGAAGATAGAAGAGATTTTGAAGCAAAAGAATGTTTCATATGTCAGTAGAATTTCCACACCTGTTTTTTCAACACAAGAGAAGATGAAACGGCTTTCTGAGTTCATATATTCTAAGACTTCCAAAGCTGGTGTACAGGAGTTTGTAGATGGCTTGCATGAGAAACTAAATACTATTATTATCAAAGCATCGGCCAAGGGTGGGAGTTTGCCACCAGTCAGTCCTAATGATTCTGGTAGTAAGATAGCATTGAATCCTCTGGGAAAGGCTGTCCTACCAGTTTCTTCAAGTGACTTCAACAGTAAACAGCTCCTTGAGCCACTTTGTAGTGATACTTTGAAAGACACCAACTCCAATGAGCAGCATTCCTCTTCAACTTTGGGTTTAACCGAAGTAGAAGTGAACCAGCCACACCATGCTACAGAGCCGATGGTGACTTCTGATCATACTGTACCTGGTGATACTGCCCGGGAACCGGTAGAAAAAGAAACAACAAAATCGCCCAGTGATGTAAACATTTCTGCCCAACCAGCTCTTTCAAATTTTATAAGCCAGTTAGAACCTGAAGTATTTAACAGTTTGGTTAAAATCATGAAAGATGTCCAGAAAAATACTGTGAAATTTTATATTCATGAAGAAGAAGAGAGTGTGCTCTGTAAAGAAATAAAGGTAACTAAATGAGAAGGTAGTAATAGTAATGCTATATAAACTTGTCTTGTTGGGTCTGATCTCTATTAAATGGAGGGTTTTTTTGTTTTTAAATGTTGACCATATATTTTCATAATTTGATCCAGAGTGGAGTAAGACTAGTAAGTTCAATTAAATGTAGAACCTCTGATCTAAGTATCTTAGAATTTAGAATCTTGTTTTATCAGTGATTTTAAAGACCATTTGTATGTACACTGCAAATACCTTTAAACTGTTGATTTCAAAGATTTTAAATGTTTCTTACTTGGGTTTTTAATGGGAAAGATACAGAGGTAGAAGAAGCTGTCAGTGTTTACTTCTTATGGGGGTTTTTATCAAATAGAAAAAACTGTCCAAGGATGACCTAATGATGATATATATAATATTTTGGCATTTCTTGATACCCTGGTCATGTCAGGGTTCCCTACAGCCTTTTTGATCAAAAAACATGATGATCCTGAAAGACTCCCCAATCATGAAAGATTCCTCACTGCAAGGTATATTTTTTTTCTACTGAAGCTACAGAGTAAGACTAGTGTTTCAAGTATTTGATTTTTAAAAATACATGCATGTATTTGTGTGTGTGTAGATACAGACATAGATAAATAAAATTTGTAACAATAGGTAAATTATGACCTACAAGAAGTGTATCAGTGTTTTAATAGTAACAGTATTTACTAAACTCTAGGACTTTAATCCCTTCAGGAAATGGCATAGGTTTTACAATAAATGCCTGCTCCCGTTATGGAATTAACTTACCATGACAAATTTCTGCTTGTTTTGTTAGAGGAAGTAGAAGGTACTATAAATAAGTGCCTTATAGCCGAGAGTGGCCCAGAAACTGTGCTGCTGAGATGTTCTGAGCCTTTGTCAGTTTGGGAATCTCTTTGATGTCAGCATGTTTCATGTAGCATGCCCATGAGAACATGAAGAACATGGAAATGAAGGAGGAGGAAGAGTGCTCAGTGTGCCTTTTCTACTACTAAATCCCTGTAATTTCTTGGGAAGATGAAACCAGACTTACTAGGAGTTTCTTGGTTGGATTTTTGCCCTGTATCATTGAATGTAGAGCTTCTTAACTTTTTCCATTCCCAGCAACAGGTTCAAGCACAGTACTTGTGGGGGCAATAGCTGCCTGTCTAGATGAGAGATTAGAGTGAGTGGATACAGTTCCACAGGGTGCTCAGCATTTATTGCACCTTCCCCACCACATTTTGTAAACTAATTGTATCACACTTACAGAAAGTGTATTGACTTCTGGTGCATTTAATTCATTCTAGCATAGAATAAGTCCTATTTTTATTACTCATGTAGAAGAAGGATGCTGTGTGTTTCACAAATCTGATAGGTCAGATCAGAACTTTAGTTCTTTTAATCTCCATTGGAAAATATCCAGCAAAAATGTTAAAATGGAGTAAAAATACTATCAATAAAATTTTAAGCTTCCTGAATATTTCTGGAATCCAGTGGATTTATTATTATAAGAGTTCAGGGTTCTCATTTAAGATGAATTTGCAGTTAAAGCTTCTTAATGTAAAAAGACCAAAAATTACAAGCTGGCCTATAATTTATCTTCTCATTACCTGTCTGTAAGCTGTTCTGAGATCTGCCCAGAAGCTTTAGAGGTTAGAGCAAAATCTAATAATGTGTAAGATGCTGCTTTAGTTCGGGGCTACACCCAGAAACATCCTCTTCGTGGTGATGCTTGTTGTCAGTTCTTGATAGAGTAGCATACTGGTTGTGAGGCAAGCTGGGTTTAGATTTAATGGCTGTCTAACCAGCCTTGCCAACCTGTATCTGTGAAATGAGGAATATGACCTCTAGGACCCTGCATTTTACTTCAGACTTCAGGATTCCACCAGCAAGCAAAGAGCAACGGAACCTGCCTGCACTACTACCCTGTGTCCTTTGATAGTACCATGTCACCAACATGGAGGGAGGTATTAGATGGGAGGGTCTATTTTATTTGAAGGTGCGAACTTGACAGACATGGCTAAATAGTATGTGAATGCCATGGTACGTACTGAAGCTCCGTATGAATGACTTTGGGATTGTTGTGAATTAAATGAGTCCAGTAGTCAGAAAAGTGCTTTGTAAGGGAAGGAGTACTATACCAGTAACCTTGCTGCAAATAACCAAAGGCTTCCCTTGAAAGGAGAGGAAAATGAGATGAGGGAGTCATTAATGATTGGGCTCTGGGTTGCCCAGAATAAGTAATGGAACAGGGTTAAGAACCTGGGCTAATTCATTGTTCTTATGATTCTTTTTGTTACCCACCACTGGCATTTACTTTGCTTCGATTGCATAGCATTGTGACATTGTGACCATGGCCATTTAAGCTCCGAGCTATGGATTCTTCTATAAGAAGAGTGGACCTGATGATCTCTAAGGTCCATAGTGTAAGGTCATCATTATTAGTGATGATTACTGAGTGACTGCTTACCAGTTTATATTGCATTTCTGGTGTTAAGTGGATATTTGCAAAAAAGGCCTTTTAATGTTGATTTAGTTTTTCTCTTTAACAGGAATATCTTATCAAATTAGGCAATACAGAATGTCATCCAGAACAGTTTTTGGAAAGAAGATCAAAATTAGATAAACTATTGATTATTATTCAGAATGAAGACATTGCAGGTTTCATTCACAAGGTAGACTTTTAAGTCAAATTCAGTATTATTTTGGTTATAAAAACTCCCTCATTTTAAAATCTTACTGTCTTTGAGGCTAAAGCTGTTTGTTTTTAAAATATCCTTATAAGGTCTAAAAGAGAGAAAACTTCAAGTTTGGGAGATTTAGGGCTTGAGACCTAAACAATCTGTGAATCAGCTTGTGATCAAGTTTGTACCTCTGCAAAATTTTAAATTGTGGCACGTGACAGACCCTCCCTGTCACTCATCAAGACTGTTAACTCCTTGAATGTCAGTGGATCTGTTGACTCTCTTTATATTGTTGTCATCTTCATTTGTATGTCCCAGGTAAAACCTGTTTGTACCCCCTTTGCCAAACCATTTCCCCTTTCCGTTGCATTTGGAGGTACCCTGTCCAGTCTTAGGAACCTGTGTCAAGTCCTGCTGTCCTTTGAAGGCTTTCCTGACTGCATGGGCTCTTGCCCTCCTCTGAATTCTGACTGCACTCACAGGGTCAGACACGTTGGCCTTTATCATTCTAATGCCAGGTCTGTTGTAGGTGCCTTTTCGTCAGTGTGTTCTGTTCATGGTATGTACCCAGTACAGAAATGTTGGTTTATGTCTTTGGACATGTTGGGAATATTTTTTGTATTTTGCTAAACTTTTCTTGTAGGTTACTTCACACCTGAGTCTTACCATTTCATTCTCTTACCTATCCTTATTTCTGTTTTTGTTTTGGGATTTAAATAGGTACCTGGCTTGGTGACTTTAAAGAAGCTGTCTTGCGTTAGTTTTGCTGGTGTTGATAGTCTGGATGATGTTAAAAATCATACATACAATGAATTATTTGTATCTGGAGGTTTTATTGTGTCTGATGAATCCATTCTAAATCCAGAAGTTATCACAATTGGTAAGATTTATGCTTTATTTGGAGCACAAACTTTTTTTTGTCCTTTCTAGGTTTTTTTTCTTCTTATTAATGACTCATGCTTTTTAAATGTATTGTTATCTCTGATTGGCCGAATGGATAAGTACATTTCCATCATTTTCTTTTTATTACTTCAAATTTCTTTCCTTGTCTCTTAGTCACTGCAAATAATTTCCTCTAAATCTGATGTAAAGCAAGTCTCTCTGCAGCTATTGCACTTGGATCCCTTCTGCTTTGTTATTGTTGTCAGCATGTTCTCTTTTGTTGTTATGTAGATGTTCTTAAATCTAAGAGTATATATAGATGTCTGTCTCCCTTCGAAGGGAAAATACTACATAGGAAAGTAGATATTCCTATATAGTATCAACAAACATTTCTTCCATAATTCATTTGTTGAGTGACTGTTACATATTGAATTTAAGATGAACTTCATTATCTCTAACAGAGAACCTTAAAAATTTTTTGACATTCCTCGAAGAACTCAGTACTCCAGAAGGAAAATGGCAATGGAAAGTCCACTGTAAATTTCAGAAAAAACTAAAGGAATTGGGCAGGTAAGATTTGAAAAATAACTATATAATGGTTGTTGATGTCAACATTGTGTTCATAAAATTTCTTTCTCTGTTTTTCTGTGTTTATAGATTATGGATGTTGCTCAGTTTTCACAGATGTCCTTAGCCAGTCATAAGGGGGAATGTAGTTATTATTCTAGCCTATTTGGAAATAGTATTCTTTTTTAGGTAGAATTTTGCTAAAATTGAAGTTCTAGTTAGGTATATAGGTAAAATTGGTTTAATCTTTGCCACTTGTGGGTTTAGAATAATCATCAAAAAGGAATAGTCAGCACTATTTTTTTACCAAACTATATATGCCAACTAGATCAGGCTCTGTCCCAGCTAAGGACTACACCTTAGGCAGCTAATCTATCTACACACTTACTGAGACATTAATCCCGACATAATAAGGGGATTTGTGATTAGGACATTCATTTATGTAAGTAGTTGATTTCCAAATGCCCAGTGATCCTTGAATTACTAGTCCACTTGAGAGGCCCCACAAATGATTCTATAATAAGATGAATTTTGGATACTCTGTCTGAGGCCCAAAGGTGTGACTTTGGTGCAAAGTTAATACCCTCATCTTCCTGACAACAGTAATTTCTACCACTTGTTGCCTTGTGCTTGGAGGTGTAGAAATAGCTTTGAGCCATGTATTTTTTTCTGAAGGAAAAATTTTTATTTTTTTGTCCTGTGCCCTTTGTTCACATTCTGAGTTAGTAAAGCTAAAGGGGGAAGTGTTATTTAGTAAGTACAGTGAGATTTTAGTCTAAAGCTGAATGGCTGGCTCTCAGGCTTTGCACCCATGAAAAGCCCCTGGACTTAAATGTGGGTTGCACAATTCCTGCTCCCCTCTCTCTCCTAGGAAGCACCCATCCATCAGGCAGTGAACTAAAGCAGTGCAATTGTCATTGGTTGCCTCAATTGACAAATTATGGTTTTAATTTGAAGCAAAAACGTCCATACTAAATTTTAGAAATGCAGATCCAGATATTGAACTACTTACTTCCACAGATTGAATGCTAAAGCTCTAAGTCTGTTGACACTTCTGAATGTCTATCAGAAGAAACATCTGGTTGAAATTTTGTCATACCACAACTGTGATTCACAAACTCGAAATGCTCCAGAATTGGATTGCCTTATCAGACTTCAGGCTCAGAACATACAGCAACGACACATAGTCTTTCTAACAGGTAAAGAGTGCCGCCTTAAGCTTTCTATTATGAATGTAGGAATGTGGATGGAAGTGTTTTGTTGCCGTTAGTGGGTGTTAAGCACTTTCATGGGGGCGGGGGCCGGCATCATTGTCTGTCTCTCCATGGAGGTTTTCACATGTTTTATACTCAAACCTTTTTATTTTTTTTCATTTAGAAAAGAACATCAAGATGCCTTCCAGTTACACAGATAATGGAATAGTGGTTGCGACTACTGAAGACTTTATGCAAAACTTTAAAAATCTTGTGGGCTATCACAACTCAATCACAGAAGAAAACCTTCCACTGCTTGGTGCTAATGAGAATCTTGAGTCACAGTCAGGTAACTTTTCAGTAGTTTTACTTTTCTTTAAGGCAGACAGAAAAAGAGGAATGGTTTTGTGTCATTTTCATAGAACAAAATGCCTGCTTTGAAACTACTTGCCCTCTGTGTAAACAGCCTCAGGGGAAGTGTTTCAAGGCACTTAACTGTGCTTATATTTAGCATATACAAAATTTGCTCATTTATTATACTGTAATCAATACAAACTCTTAAGTATGCTACATACTACCAGAGTAGGCATTTTCTTTTTGAGGGTATATAAACTTTATTGGCTGCTGTTGTCAGCAAAGGGGTTCTGTTTTTAAAAAGGAGGACACCAGATAATGGGGAATTTAGTATTGGGCTGCAGACTCTCCCCAGATGTATATAGCAATTTAAGTACAAGGTAGTAGGGATATATCCATAGCTTTAGTGTTTTGTGAGATGGCCTCTGCTTTGGTTCCAGGTTTTATGTTAAATGAAAGATGTACGTACTTTGTTTTTGATGAAAAGCAGAGATGATCAAACATTTGCTAGAACTAACCAGTTTAGTCGTAATCCAATGAAGCTAGATGTCAAAATTTTTATTTTGTATTTGTCTTGTCAAATACTGAATTACCGTGTAACTTTAGATGCTGTTTTGACATTAACCCCTTTGGAGCTGGGAGTTGGGATTTCCCAACATTAAACGTGAACACATTTCGCAGAAGCTTTTAGCATCGGATTATCTGGACATTCACACCTAGTGTGAGTGTTGTGACTAAGTGAACTTGTGGCAGAAGACCAAGCTTTAAGGGATTGTGGACTTGCAGACCCTGACGCATTATATTGTGTGAGTAGTGTATAATTTTAAAACTTAAACAAATTGTGTATTTCAATAGAGGAGGACTTTTTGTTTTTTAAATGTAGCTCTTTTAGAAAACGATGAAAAGGATGAAGAGGATATGTCTCTGGATTCAGGGGATGAAATCTCACAAATAGAAGTATGCAGCAATTTTCATTCAGAAATATTGGCGAAAGAGACCAAAGGATCACGTGGAACAGATCAAAATAAGAATATTCAAATTGAGTTGCAGTCGTCTCTTGACGTGCAAAAAAGTTTATTAGAAGATAAGACTTATCAAATTGATTCTGAAGAGAGCGCTTCTGTTGCTATAGTATGCTCTGAAGGAGAGAACAGCAGTGCAACTGAACAAGATTCATATAGCAACTTTCAGGTTTATCACAGTCAATTAAATATGTCCCATCAGTTTAGTCATTTTAATGTTCTCACGCATCAGACATTTTTGGGGACACCATATGCCCTTTCATCAAGTCAGTCTCAAGAAAGTGAAAATTACTTTTTATCTGCTTACACTCAAAGCTTGGATAGAGCTAAATCTCCATCTCCATTAAATTGGGGGAAAAGTGATTCTTCCAAGCCCTTTTCAAAAGAGAAATAATTATAGCAAGCTTTTTTTTTGAAATAGGTTGTTACGAACTTTTTCTGTTATAAGTGAATTAACAATTTATATTTCATTCTCTAAACAAAACGTTTCTTGTCCTTCCTCAATGTTTTTTTCCTCTTATTTAAATCATGATGGCCTGTAACAGTTGAAGCATCTGAAAATTGAAATAAATATATATATTTTTAACATATATTGTACTTGAATTATCTCATGTTGGCACTTTTTAAGTTTTACATATATATGTTACCTGTACTTGGGCTTCAAATTGAAGCCTGTTTTATATATAAAATTAGATAATTTGCAAAAGGATAGTGAACAATGGCTTTTTTCTCCCGCCCGCCCCCGCCAGTCAGATGATACCAACTACTTTTGCTGAAATGACATACAAATCGAGGTATAAGCCAGTGATGTCAGTAGATATAAAGGATTTTGGCTCAATACCTCAAGATTTATCTAACACTGAATGCAGTTTCAGTTTAGATGATAAACTATGTATATAAGACTTAGGACTTAATGCCAGGCAGCATTATTTTTATCTTTAGGCTTAGCCATGTAAAAATTGCCTGTTTGTAAAATTTTCAGTCAACCTTTTATTTGAGGTATTTGATCATTACAATTTTCAGTGCTTAGTATGGTCCTTGACTTAACCAAATTCATTTTCATATTTCCAAAAGATAGGCTTCTGTTTATTAAAGGCACTAAACAAATTTGGGACAACTTTGCTATAGATTTTTGAATTCGTAGTCTTAGAAAAATGTAAGTATATTTTTGAGGTGGTGAAAACTTAAGTGCTTTACTAAAAATAACCTAAAATTCACAAAGTATATGATCAGTTTTCAAACCGTGTCGCTAATAACTGCATTAGAAATGCAACCTTGTAAAATGTTTTTGTAAAGTCCTAAAAACAGGAATTATAGAGAAGAAATACTGAGCTAAAGTCAGACCTTCCTTTGGCACCTCAGAAGAACTTGGAAGAGTTCTAACCTCTTAAATCTTTTTATAGAACAAATACCTAACTTGTATTTCAATAATAAGCTACGTAAGTGTAGAAGAACATGGTCTGTGAACAGGTCAGAAACCTGTCTTAAGGTAAGTAGAAAGTGTTTAAATACCTAGATTGCGATAGAGCAGAAAAATGTTTTTTTACTAGCTTTACAAAAATGTCTGTTTTATTGTAAAAAAATATATACACACACACACACAGCGTTGTACTACATAACGTACAAGTTTTAAATAAGCATTTTTAAAATTTTGGAAAATACAGTTATGCAATGAACACATTTTATAATTCAGAAGCAACAAATGTGAAGGATTTGATTTTCTACATTTAAAATGAAGAATTAAAATTCTCTTCTTGATTTGCAGCTAAAGGCATGAGATTAGTTTCCAATTCCCTTTGCTTCTGGAGAAGGCCCTGAAATCACATTGATATGTTAGTAAGGTGTGCAGCAGACTTGCAAATTATTCCTATTTTACATTTTAGCCCTGCTAATCCAGAATTATATTTACTTTGAAAACCTGTAATCAGTTCAGTTACTTGGCCATAGCTTTATCGTTGTCATGATGAATTTTAACCACTCAAAAAACCTACATCAGACTTTCTCACTTGGATATTGTGTAGCTATTACATATGCGTAAGATTATGTTTTTAGTATAAAAACCAATAGGGATGACTTTTCCAAGTCTCCGATAACTATGGGGCTGTGAAATCCCCTAAAGGCTCTTAAAATGGTAATGAGACGCACTGAAGGAGTCTCCCTTAAATAACATCCAGTGTTTATCTTGACTGCACTAACCTTAGTGGCTTAGACAAGGCCCTGGTGAAATAAGATGTGGCTACTGTACAGGTGGGTCACTATGTACATGGTATATATTCCTGCCTCTTGACCTCACAACTTTTACCTCTATTAAAAAAAGTGCCTTGTCACTTTAAAGGAAAATTGGAAATATTTACTGCTTGTTACATAATCTATATGTAACCAAAGCTAGCATTTAAAGAACTAAAGGATACTTTCTATATAATTCTGTTATTGTGATTTTCTAGCTCTATGTGAACAAATTGGGTAAGCAACACTTGAATTGACAATTTGAAATGGAAGAGGCATATGTAAATGACTGGACATGGAAAAGGGCACTCCTAAAGTGGCAGTTTATTTTTCCTAAGATTAGGGATAGGTATTTAAAGGCCAGCTGATAAAGGTTATAGCCTTAAATATTGAATGTGTTACTAGATTTTATTATTGCCTGAGCAAGCTAACGAGAAGTGACAATAACTGATCTGGGAGGAGGAGATGTAGTCTGATGGGTAGGAGGTTATGTGTATACTTTCACACCAAATTTTATTATTCTTTGGGACTTGCATCAATATTCTGTTCTGAACACTGCCAACACATTCAATTAAAAAAAAACGTGAACTGCATTACTAAATTTATTGAAGCATAATTTTGTATTTTCTATCTTGGGTTTTAGGGTTTATTTCATGTTTACCCTTTCAAATGTATGTTTTTCATTAAATAAAATTGTCTTAATATTACAATTGTCTCATGATTTCATACTGGAGTATTTTAAGATTAATATACAAGTGAATTTTTTTAAGTGGGATGTGTTCAATTAGGCCTTTAAAGTAAATTAGCCCTTCCAATATATAGCCCTCTGTTAGACATACACAGAAAAGTTACATCCAAACTTGGTGAAAAAGCTCCTACCTGTCTCAGTTCCGATAGTCCCTTAAGGATTGCTTGCTGTCGATCCCTGTTTTTCACCAAGTTAGGATTAAGAAGTGGGTCTCTGACATCAGAATCCAATAGCTGCCGGTGTTCTTGGTCACAGTCTGAAGACAGAAGAAAGTGGTATAAGTCAAATACAATCTCTAAAATTAAAAATTTAATAATGGGGGCTCCTGGGTGGCTCAGTCGTTAAGTGTCTGCCTTCGGCTCAGGTCATGATCTCAGGGTCCTGGGATCGAGCCCCACACTGGGCTCCCTGCTCGGCGGGAGGCCTGTTCTCCCTCCCCCTACTTGTGTTCCTGCTCTCGCTGTGTCAAATAAATAAATCTTAAAAAGAAAAATTTAGTAATAGACCCCAAAAGAGAAATTCTACCCCTCCTGACTAAGGGCAAGAATATTAGTTTGGATTCTGAATTTAGTGTTGGGGGAAAGGGATACTTCTGTTTACCTACCATGTGGAGTTTGGTATTGAAGATCCTGGGTTAAAGGCCTAGAGAGAGGTGCATCTGGGTCAAGGTAATAAATCTCACTGGTTCGGACATAGGGGATGAAATGAGATGGTTCAGAAAGCCCAGGTGATGTTTCTGTTTGACTATCTTCTAAGATCAGATTCTCTCTTTCATAATTACGGTTTTTTAGTGTCTGAGTTTGTTGCGCTCTGTTTTTCACCACTGGAACTGGTGGTGGTGACTGAGACCTGTTTTTTTCAAAAAAGCACAATTAAGGACTAAGAAGCTTTAATGCAAAATTATGTATTTTAAAATATTCTTTAATCACATTTCAATTTAGTCTACAATGTAACACCTTTAGG